GGACATACCATATTATTTTAAAAAATAGATGAATCACTTATAGTCCATGAAACTTAGGTCTCAGTAAATTCATCTGATAAAAATTTGTAAGTATCAAACTACAAACACTGGGATAAGAACAATGGAGAATAATCTTGTCAAATAAACCATATCATAGACTAAGGAACATGTGTCCTAAAATTTCATAATTTTATTAAGAGAAGAAATCAAATCAAAAGAAATGTAAAAGATGATCATTCATATCAGAAGCTATAACTGAAAGCTTAAAAATCTGGATATTTCTTTCTTGAAATCAAGAAATTAAGAGAAAGAAAGGTAACACTCATATATGAACTAAAAGTTGAAAATATTAAGTGCAGACATTTTATAACTTATAAAGAAAATATATGCCTAAATCACTAACAGTGCCAGAGAAAGAATGAACTTTTGATGCACACAGTATGTTCAGGGGAGTACTGCACAAAGAGGATATCTTGCATTCCTATTGATGGAGGGTTATAGTCTAATGCTGACTGCATCATAGACTGTTGCTATACATGTATATTAAGTGCAGGGATGAGAGTTTCATTGAAAGGCTTCGCACATGCACAAAAAACGATTTTGGCAGTGATGCAAAGTAATAACTGTAAGTTCTTTGGCTCGTGAGTAGCATTTCTAAAACTGATGGTACTTTTTAAGATACATTTACAGGAAAGAAAGAATGTTTCTTTCCTTTTTTTTACAAAAACTTGTTGACTCCAAGAAATATTACATTATTAATGGGAGTTTTAAATGTACAGAACAAAGATTTATCATGCTAAATTTCAGTAAGTTATTTTTAAATGTACTAAGATTATATTTGGAATTATTATTGTCTAAAATGAGCAGATTAAATATTTTAACAGTACAATAAAAAAAAGCACTAAAGGAATTTTACAGAGCTATTTTAACTAATTTTTAAAATGTCAATATACACCACCACTAAAAATATTAATTTCTTTGCAAGGTTTTAACTAGTAACCAGATTAACAACTAAGGTACACAGACGTACACCCACAACAAAATCATTTATCATTTCTATTATTACACTTTGAAATTATATATATACATATGTATTTTTATTAATGATTACAAAAGTTCACAGATATTTCCAACTGTGACAGTAAGCTCAAAAGTTTCCCAACAATGATTACTAAAAATTACATACTTTTTTTTTGGAAATATAATTATTCTGATTTCTAATTCAAATTCAAAGATTTAAAACAGGAATTTACTGTTAGTGCTTCTATTTATATAAAAGCTAAGATTAATTTGCTCTAAACTAGCTTTAAAGAAGTATTATGAAGAACTTGAAACAAGCAATAAAATGCCTAAATTAATTTTTAGCATCTAATACTTGATACAATTATTCCTGATGGCCATATGAATTATTTCTGACAGATTTTGTTTCCAGCCAATTAATTAATTTTACATTTTTCTTAAATTTAGCATATCACATGAAAATTAAGTTTTAATGTTTGGGTATAAAATAAAAGCCAAAAATTCTGTAAATCTCAACAGGTTTAATAGTGCATCTATATTGCAGTAATAACTGAAATGTTACTTTAATATTACAGTGCATATCATCAAATTTCTTCAAACTGGACCTTTATTACTCAAGTTTAATGAAAATTTAAACTTTCTGTCATGTACTTATATGAAAACCTAGGTCTAAATTTTAATTAGTTACCTTATCAGTATTGTTATTACTAGATATTAATTAGATTTTATCCTATCTTTCAGCTTCTAATCTGCTTCCATCCTCAGAGAAGTCCTGAGAAGGATTCTTTTGTGGTGGTAGAGGTCATTATTCAATTCTGGGTCAACGTGATAGAAAGACTAATGTGCTATCTACTCCTTTTAACCTTCCCCATTAGGACTAGAATCAATTAACTATTTCAATGTTTTCAAGAAAGTTATCTAGACTAGTTTGACTGTGTTATCAGTTAGATGGATGTAGCACTTGGATGAGATATATCGGCAATATATTTGTAATATGGCCACTTACCACAGAAAAGATTACAGAATTCATAAACTATCTGAACAAATAACATCCAAAAACAAAATTTACAATGAAAATAGAAGAAGTTAACAAATTCCTAAATGTGATAATTACTAAGACACATAACTCGTACACCACAGGAGTTTATAGAAAACCCATAGACACCACTAAATATCTTGACCATAAATGAAAGAACCCCAACAACTTACAGAGAAGCATACCCTCTAATTTCCAGAATTAACAATATTTGTATTAAAAAAGATAATAACAAGTACAATAAAAACAAATCACTACAACCCTCTTTGATAATGGATACCCTGAACACTTGATAAAGAACAATATGAACACCAAAAATAAGCTTGAAGAAAATTACTGACACACAGCTCTATTCCCTTATGTAAAAGATTTCTCTGAAAATATACTAAGTATATGCAAACAGAATAAAATCAAAGTACCATTCAGAAATTATAACACAATACAATCACAGTTATTACACACCATACCACCTAAAAACTCAATGTAGATCATATAACACCATTTGCATCTCCTGTGAATGTGGACTCCAATACAACGGAGAAACGAAAAAGATCAACAAAAGTTAGAATTCAGAAACATAAAAGACATGCCAGAGAAGACCATATAATAAACTGGAACAGTATAAACAGTGAGATGCTACTCAATTACAAGTAAAAAGAAAGATAACAGAATCCTTCTTCATACACCTAACCAATAACACATACAGTCAAGGTAATACAGAAGTCAGCAAAACCTGTATAACACTCTTCAAAACATTCAAATAGTTAATTGGCTTAAAATCCTAACTGGGGAAGACCACAAATGAGTGGATAACACACCAGTCTTTCAATCAAGAAGACCTAGAATCCAATACCCACCACAAACAGTACTTGTAAGAACTTCCTCAAAGATGGCAACAGTTGAAACATATGATTAAAAGTTGTAATTAGTATCTAGTAATAATGAGAATCACTGAAATCCAATCACCACAATATTACCACAAAATTTAAGCTACTCTCCAACACTTTGGTATGTTTATAGGTATGAAGTCTAATGGTTTGGTTGCAAAGGATTAATGGTAACAAAGTTTCTCAACCACTGATTACCAAAAGGATGTTATTTCAAGCATTTAAGTTGCTACATATTTGTTGAAAAGACCAAATGAATGAAATTGAAAAAAATTAAAGCTACATTTATTATCAATCACCTTTGTGTAGACAATCAAGCTTTAAGGCATAACTTACTTGTTAAAATTCATTATAATTTACAAGCATATGAAAAATAAAAGATTCTACAAAGCTATCTCAATTTTTAAAATACCTTTATAAATGAAATAAATAAAAAATTAAATTACCCACCTGAGCTGACCAGTCGAAGCTAGTAATTGTACGATTCTTAGACCAACGATCATCAGTAAAACACCGATTCAGCAATAATCTAATTCCACTTTTATCATCACTAAAAGTATAAAATATTTCTTTAGAAACATAATTATATTTATATTTTAACTTTAGTACTAATTTTAAATTAAATTTGACTTGTTTGAACTGTGGTTTTGCCTTGTTACAAAGATTTTTTTTTTGTTATGGAGACTGCACTCTTAATTGGCTCTAATTAAGATTCCAAAATAATGTTAATTGGCAAATACATCACAATCATCTAAGACATGCTGTAAAACTACTTGACTTAGTACCCAACTTGATACTTGCATGTTCATCTACATGAATATGGATCCAAATTGAACATTATGTTGTTTAAAACTTTACAAGAAGTTTCTTGTGTATCACACACACAGTGTTACTATATTGTATTTCAGTATAAGAAAAACACAGTACAACTGATTACATTCTAGTGATTTTAGTGGTAGCGAAATAAAGGTACTCTGGAAATGGTGTATCATTTTCACAGTAAAAAATGTCAAACTACTTTTGGTTTTGTGTATTTTATGGAATACTATGAAGTTCAATGAAAAATTAAGTTTTATGGTACATTGCTGTTATAATTCCTAAGAAAACTCACATTTTTTCAGATGTTGTGTATCTTATAAATGAAATCAATATTAACATAAAGTACTAAATATTTTCATTTATCAAAAGCTATTAGTTGAATCTCCTCCTCAAATGTTTCTGTATTACTATTATATTTTTTAGTTTTTAATTAAATACACATATCAATTATGCTTACTTTCTCACATATATTCATAACTAAAAAACTAGATACAGTATCATACAAGGAGGTAGTCTTGCTTTTTTTTTAACCCTTTTTGGTCAGTTAATTTTAGATTAGTTTAGTTAAGGTATCAGTCTACAGGTAAGACTGGTCCCAATGTTAACCACATGGAGCCTAATTATGTGCTACAATAAGGCAGACTGCTAATAGTCTGGAAGGGTGTCACAAATATCTCCCAATTTTTCTTTCTCGCAACGGAAATATTTCATGAAATTTAGCAAACATTTTTTAAATATTATCTAGTTTCTGCTTTAAAAAGTAATGTTTTTATTTAGTATTTCTATCATTTTTTAGCTTGTGTAATTTCCAAATTTTATTGTGAGACATTGATTTGAAAATCCATTAAAAATACTTCTTTCTGTTTTAGAATTTCAATTTTTTTTTTATTGTTGACATACATATTCAGCCAGTTTCAAGTTGACTGTTATTCATTAACATATTTTCTTTAATTCTTTACTTTTTTTATTTCAGTATTCACCACTTCTGGTATAAACCATAAAGAAAACAGTAAAAATTTACAAAGATTTAATGATCACCTAGGACCTCACCTTTCAAAATAGTGCCACTTATATAAACTTTTATGTAATAAGTATATTTTCTTTTCAACAGATAATAGGATATTTTATTTGTATGGATTGTTTGAATATGATACACTTCATGAACACTAATATTCAATAACTATGAGTCATAAAAACATTTTGCCATCACCTAATGTACTTCTAAACATAACTAAGCTGTTTAGTCATAGAAGAAAATTTCTGTTGCTTTCAAACAATTATAATTTAATACAAATGTTCAAACTAAAAATTTCCAGATCTGTGGTTTGTTCCAAAGTCTTCTAAACTTAACATTAGATCTCTCTGTTCACTGATAAAGGAGTTTTGGGTACCTAATATCTTGAGAAACCACAAATTACTGTTCAAACCACTTTCTTTACTATACACCGACACAGATAGATTATAATCTCATCTATACAATCAAATTTAGCTCTAGCTATTTTCAAAGCTGAGCCTCATTAGTAATTGTTCAGACTGCATGCTGTAACACCATTAAAGGTTGGCAATGAATGGATGTAGTAATAAAAAAAACCACAAATAAGGAAATTCATGTGAGATGCAAGATAAGAATCAATATATTTTCAAGTGATGATAGTTTTTTTACCAGATATAAGCTTATATGTTTGTTTCATCAGGAAAATTCAAATGAAAACTGATGTGTTGTTTTCAGGTGTAATTCCTGAGATGTACAAAAATGAGTTTGAAGATTTGTTTTCACTTTTCTTTCCATATTACACTAAATAAATGTATGTTATAAACTGACCACAAAATATCAATTTTAAAACATTTCTGAGTTTCAAATTGTTGAAACAGTCAGAATTATTATTTTTACCTAAATGTTTAAAACTTGATATGCAGGTGTGTACTCGAAACATGCATTTAAAATTCACACTTTTAACACAATCTTAACCACTGATGACTAGCTGTATTACCTATAAAAGAATTAGAAATTATAATGAATAAGATAAATCAATGAACCATTTAAATCTTAATTAATCATATTTTTATTTTGTGAATGCTGTAAAGGTAAGTTACTTCAAATAGTGCTTGCATTCTGTACCTAACACCATACAGCACTGAAATCCTCCCCTCTATATGCTTAGTATTCACAGAAATAACTTTTTATCTCAAGTGTATGAATGAATAAAAGCAAACTAATGAAAGGAAATAATAAATATTAATTCATGCTTTAAACAATATAAATAAAAAAGTTTATATATAATACTCCTTGAATATCAGAATTTAGCCATTACTAGTGGTTCTTCAAAACTGCAGGTCTGTAGTTTCACTGATAACTTCTGCTTTTCCTAAGTACAAAAGCACACTCTTACAGGAATTCAGGAACATGAGGACTTTGAAACCTGTAATTTGTTGTACAACTCAACTTTACAGAATTATTTACTTTGGTTCTATCAAAAGTGATAACTCAGGTCTGCAATGGTTTTACAGTCTTGAAATTTTTACATGTTCTACAGTAATTCCTGTATGCTAAATCCAAAAATGATATCGATTTTTCTCTATCACGTACAGATTTTTCTCAAAATGTCATATGTACTTTTACATAAGTGAATAATTTTCACTGAAATCGGGTCACATTTTCTTATGCTTAAAATGTTGACAACCACTGGCTATAGATTTCTCTAGACCAATCACGATGTGAGTCTTATCGATTGTTCTATAAACCATGAGAAACACAACTCTAGTATATAAACGGTTAACAGGTCACACGACATGTCATTTTTGGATAATATTTGTTTGTGCGTGCACTTTGACATTATTTTTTCTTTTTCGGTGTTATTTATTTGTCGCTGTGGCAACAAAACGTTGTGTAAATTACCCAAACACATTCTATTATATTTGTGGTAATTTTGTTGTAAAGAAAGCAAAAGCAAAACATTATAGCCAATTTACATATTACATGTATTTTGGAATAAATCTTGGGGACCAAGACAAATTATGCATCGTTTGTGCCGAAGAGTTGGACTAAAGGTAAGAAAAAGTCTATCTTTTGGAATTCCAATGGTCTGGCGTGAGCCTAGAAACTATGGAGATGACTGCTATTTTTGCTCATGTAACGTGCGAGGCCACAACGCTTGAAACAAAAAGAAAATTTCTTATCCAAACCTTCAATCTGCTATAAGAACTGTTGCCCATGGCCCTGATGTACCTGTACCTACTCTACCAGAGACTCTTGATACCGTTTATCTGATTTTGAATTCTGATGTCAATAGAAATGATGATAGGGATTGTTTTCAACCTGAAACTTCTGGTGAACCAAAACTTTTCACACAAGGTGAACTTAATAATTTGGTGAGAGATTTGGGGCTTCCAAAGGATTCTTCAGAGATTTTGGGGTCCAGACTTCAGACTAAGAACTTACTTTCTCTAGGGACATCATTTTACTGGTTCAGAAATCATGAGAAAGAGTTTATACCATACTTTATGCAAGAAGGTACACTGGTTTATTGCAACAATATTGCTAATTAATACCAATGCTAGGAGCTTCAGTCTATGAATCAAGTGAGTGGTGATTGTTCACTGGTTCCTCCAAAAGAAGTCTAAAAGGTGTTCTCATTCACAATGGTAACATATATGCATCTATTCCTATTGCTCATTCGGTTCACTTGAAGGAAACATACAAAAATCTCAAACTTCTTCTTAATAAGGTCAAATACAAAGAATATGGTTGGCTACTTTGTGGAGACTTAAAGGTCTTTTGTATGTTGTTGGGTCAACAATCCGGTTATACAAAGTTTCCATGTTTTTTGTGTGAATTGGACAGCAGAGCATGAAATCAGCACTGGATAAAGAGGCAATAGCCATACAGAGCCAGCCTGATACCAGGTTCGAAAAACATTTAATGTGAAAGTTTGGTTGACACAAAGAAAGTCCTATTACCTCCACTTCACAT